AGGTCAACTACAAAAATTATGCAGTGCAGACACTCTTTCTATGCCAAACTATCACCCTTGGCTTTGCAGAGCTGATGTCTGCAATGCCTTGAGGGACAATGCATATCTTACTAGTTAAAGCAAAAGGGAGGGATAAGTGCCGAAACCAGTAAAATGATTACAAAATTCATGGATGTTATGTTATTTTGAATTATCAAGCTCAACTTCAATAATCTGCTAGCAAAAAAAAACAACCTTGAATGAGCAATCTTTCCAATATCAAAGGTTAAAAAGCTGGCAGGAGTGCAAGAGATGGTAGTTCAAATTATTTTTTGACCTTATTTTTCTCCTAGGAGAATGAACTCTAATCATTTAAGAAGTAAGAAATATATATCTACTCAAATAAATAAGAGAACAATAAACACAAAAGATATTAAGCCAATCGAACAAACTATAGATACCATAAGCATCAAGCAGCAAAAAAGCTTAAAAGCAATGGAGCAGCAGCAGCTTCCATACATTCAACAATTATTCCCAGATATTACTCAGCCAGAGCAAACAGTTCTTAGCAATCATATCAGTCCACAAATTCTTTGTGTTAATAGAAAATAAAAACATAAAAGGAAAGATCTTACTAACCAAGTCACCACCTTCATCGTCATCAAAATCATCAGCATTTGCTCCAAGATCTTGCATTCCAGCTTGGTCTGTAACAATATAGTAAAGTGCCATTACCTTAATTAGTCAACCTGCAAACTCCAATTTTCCATTCAAACTCGGTGCATTTCTAGCATCTTCAAGACGTGAGAACTGCAAGTAACTGATTCAATGAGTTTGATTTATTCAATACAATTACAAGGAATCATATCCAGCATCTGATAAGAACAACTGCAATGGAATTGAACTAAAAGGAAGGGTAAAAAAAACATTGCAAACCCAACTTGATTTCACTGGCCTTTCAGGTTTTAAAATATTGTAACCTGAAATTGTATGATGGGTTGACCCTTAACCCAACCCATGCCCGCACCTAGCTAAGGATTTGGCAGTTGGAAGTTTTTAGTGCCCACTCTTCTCAGTTTGAGTTGGGAAGAAACTTAAAAGACAATACACTAGATTCTTTTTAAATTCTGGTGCAGTAGAAGACCCAATCAAGAAAAGGTGTGCATTTGTTTAGAGTCAATTTCAAATTCCAACTCAAGCTACAACGAACCGGCAGTTGACAGTTTTCTTTTTCTTTCCTTTAATAAATTTCCCCTACATGGATTTGGACTTGAAAATAAATATAAATAAATAACAGAACTGAAGGATGCCAACAGTCTTTGAAGTTTTAATTAAACCATGTTATGGATTGCTTGTTGGTTGACCTTTGGCTTAATATAACTAGCTGCATGCAAACATTTATATATTTATTCTATATCCAGGCTGCTTAAGTTGAAAATTGTAGTCAAACAGACCTGCACAAATCCAAAACCTTTGCAGTTGTTAGTTTCGTCAACAGGTAACTGAACCAGTTCTACAGGACCAAATGCTCCAAAAACCTGCATATATATCACATATTAAAGGGTGAAAGTCAAAATGCAAAAAATATTCACAATTACAAAGACGAAATTAGGAAACTGTGAACAGAAGTGCTCAAAAGCAACAACAACAACAAAAATTACATAACCAACAGCAAGCTTGATTGTGTACATTATCTGATGCCAACATTAGAACTGTGTCAGAAAAGTACTCACCTGGTGGAGATCGTCTTCTTTTATATTGGTATGGAGATTTCCAACATACAGCCTTCTAGCTCCGCCAGAATATGGGTCCATCATCCCACCTGGTCCGCTAACCACAGATGTTGATTGAACCAGATTCTTCTCAGCCTCTGATGGCTTCACCATCACTGGTTGACCAAGAAGAGGCTGACCAGAAAGTGCAACCGCCATAGGTACCGACATTGCATCATAAAACTCAATACACCTACAAACTAGACAACATTAGACTCTTGGATAATCAAAAACCAATTGCCACATACAGATGCATATAATAGCGAAGTTTACTGGAGTTTCCACACATAGTTCAAAACGGGGAAAGAAAAATGTCCTATATGATATATCTGATCATCTTGACCAACTAGAATAACCAGTAGTATATACTATATGTACTGCTTTTAGTACAAAGGCGATCAATATCATCGTAAACTTTCTAAGATGATGGTGCAAATTTTGAACATTGTAAATGATGTGATGATTCTTCGTACTGCACAAGAAAACGTTGGAACAAGGAAGATGCAGCCATCAAGAAGGAAGCAGGAACTGCCAACCATTCCAAAAATGACCAAGCGACATTAAAAGGATAGTCTTATTTGAACCTTAGAATGAAATCTTCGGTTTCTTGTCAACACAACCATATAAACTTTTTTCATTAACAACCGGATAATTTAGGACTCTCACATCATCTTAAACGCTACCATTGCATAATGGGTAATTGTTAAAGTGAACCTTCTGTTAACAACCATCCAAAGCTTTTGTCACCAAGACATAAGAAAAACTTACCCAACTCCCTTAGAACGTCTTGAATTGCGATCCATAATGAGGCGTACATTGCGGACCTAAAAATACACAATTCAGAGCTATTAGATAGACAATCATAGAAATATACTAACAATTACATCCACAGAAGCACTTAATGGAAAACGTTATGGGTTTCCAGTATTTGGTTTAGTTGAAGCACTGCATCAGATAGTGTCAGGGTGCCCTTGAGAGCAGAAGGTGAAAATATAATGCATTTATATCAAGAAGTCCCTTTTAGCCAAATAGTTTAAGATCTTTATCCACCATCCTCTATGATTTGTTAAATGAACATGAGATAAATAAACGAGAAATGTACAAACCTTGCCAGCCCTTGAGAAGAACTCGTATACATCTCTTTCATCTGCCTTCAGAAAAATCTGTCAAAGTTGTTCACCAAATCTTAATAGTTAAGATATGAGAATGTGAAAGATAGAAAGTTCAAGATAACACCATAGAATGCATGCACCAACATATTTGCTCTTCTATGGACCTAACTTGTGCTTCACTGCTTCAGCTTCCCAATCTCAAGCTCCAATTTGCAGCTAAATTTTTTCAATTTCGGGTTTCAGACTTTCAGTCAATCGCAGTGTTTGAAAAATCGGCCTAGGAGGGCGGCTAGGCAGTCGCTATGCGGGCTCTAGGCGGCTAGGATGTCGCTAGGCAGGCGCGAGGCGGCTAGGCGGTCGCTAGGCGGGCTCTAGGCGGTCGCTAGGGGGGCGCTAGGCTGTCGCTAGGCTACTAGGATGTCGTTAGGTGGGCGCTAGGCGCTAGGCGGTCGCTAGGCGGGCGCTAGGCGGCTAGGCGGCTAGGCGGGCGCTAGGCTGCTAGGCGGTGACTAGGCGAGCGCTAAGCGGTGGCTAGGCATTGTACTCAGCGAGCCTCATTTTGTTAACCTTCTTAACCTACAACATGAGCATATATACAACAGATTTAAATACAAAAGAAGCCAAAAGCTTAATATATTTTTGGTTCCTAAGCAGATATCAAACCTAGTGGGTACCATCATCCATTCTTGTTGAAGGTCAGGATCTGCTGCATATGCTTGCAAGCCAGTTGCAAGCAATGTCCCATGCTTTATTCCAACCCAAATGCTCTTCATCAACAAGCACTCTCATGACCTCAGCTGTTTTTTAGAGATGGGTGAGTATCACTGAGCTGCAGAGCACCCTAATTAAGACATGGAAAATTGAGCCGAGGAAAAAAGGAAAAACAGAAAAGCATACCTGAATGACTGTCAGAGGAAAGTAATAAATATAACTTCATTGTAGCTAAACAAGCTGCCAGATTGGGTATTCCCTAGAAATCAACATAGGATAAAACACATACTATTAAGACTTACACCTCATCAAAGTTACCGTGAGCCCCTTCTCTTCTTCTTCTTGTGCTCAAAACAGATAAGCTGTCTGTTTTGACTGTGGTTGTGGAGGCAAATCAAAATAAACTGTGGGTTGTTTCAAGTTTAAACCCACAAGATAATCATCGGGAACTTCTTCTCTAGTTCAATTTTTTTCTTATGATTGTATAATGGAGGAGGTGCGTGATCACTTTTTTGGAGGACGGAAGTATTTACTACTTATACTGAGCTCTTGCAAAATAATGAACAACACAAACTTTTTTATCTTTTCAGAAACAATTTGGCATACTCTCTTACAAAATAGTCCCAGCATCCAAAATATTTTTTCTCAAGTTACAGAGTATAGTCGCTCGGCTTTAAAACAAATTAGAAAGGAAAATAGCATAGCCAAAAGAGAATAAAAATATCGAGTCTAGCCAAGCGGCTCTACTATTTTTGACCCATTAACAAATTCCAAATGCTGAACTGAGCATGACATTCTTCCTTCTCACACAAAAAGCCCTGATGATAATTCATTAAATACTCTCTCACATGAAAATTGGACCCAAAAGGCTAACCACCAACAGGCATTACCAGCTACACATTTTCTACATTTCCAACACTGCATATAATAATCCTATCTGCTTTCCATGAATTTAGCCTCATAGTTCTGGGGCAACTGCAAAGATGAAAATATATTTTTTTAAACGAGATGTTCCAAAATGAAAAATATATATAGTCACAATCACAAACATATGTAAGTAACATGAACGTTGCCTCAATCATCTTTCCGGCAAACCGTCTTCCATGGAGAACATGCTGAGCATTTATCGCAGCTTGTGTGTTCTCGAATCGTAAGTACACATGACCAGCGGTATTCCTGCCCATTGACATGAATGTAAGTCAGACATGTGCAAGAGACGAAGGACAACATAACTAATGCGAACAAGCTTACTTGTCTAAAAAGATATGCCTCAAATTCCCGTATTTTGAACACTCCTCCTGAACATCTTCTTTAATGTCCAAGTCAAAGTTTGGTTCCGTCTGCTCAAAAAGGAAGGCAAATTATATAATATAACCACCAAGGGAATGAAGAAAATCTCTCAGTATCAGAAGAATCCACCACCAACCTCAACTGCCGGATCAAACATATTTTTCAACAGTAAACATTCGCTTGGAACACCAATTGTATCTATAGAAGGAAGAGTAGCAGTAGGAATTTGAAGACCAGCAACACCAAGTCCAGAACCCTTAATTTACAAAGTAGCCATTCACAAAATCGGCCTAGGCCGGCGGCTAGGCGGTCGATAGGCGGCTAGGAGGTCGCTAGGCGGGCACGAGGCGGCTAGGCGGTCGCTAGGCGGGCACGAGGCAGCTAGGCGGTCGCTAGGCGGGCACAAGGCGACTAGCAGCTAGGCGGTCGCTAGGCGGGCACAAGGCGACTAAGCGGTCGCTAGGCGGTCGCTAGGCTGCTAGGCGGTCGCTAGGCTGCTAGGCGGTAGCGAAGCGGGCCCTAGGCTGCTAGGAGGTAGCTAGGCGGCTAGGAGGTAGCTAGGCGGGCGCTCGGCTATACTGTTAAAATATTCCAATATATTTAGAAGGTATAGCCGTTCGGCTATACGTTTAAAATATTCTAACATTTTCAAAGAGTATAGCCGATCGGCTGTACTCTTTAAATATACAATTTTGTCATTATTTTAGGGTTTAAGGCTAAAATAGAGAAGAAAGCTCCAACTGCACATCATTTCTCATTGAAAAATCAACAAATTATACTGTCCAACAACTTAAATTACCGTGACAAGAAGATGAACTAGGAATGCACAATGTTGGAGGATGGTGATAGCTCCCTTTAGAAGGTATAAGGTAGTTCTTTGTTAATAAGTTATAAAAATATGGAATGCAAAGTTTTTACCATATAAAATCAGATTCACCTCAATACAGTCATATCGATGGATAATGCCAAGTATATTGCTGCTTAGAGTCATAGTGAACTGCATACTTACAATCATAACTTGTTTTAGCGGTACTAAAACACACACAGACATGCACAGATGAGAGAGAGAGAGAGAGAGAGAGAGAACCTATCAAGTCCTAAGGATGTTGCAAGGCCAGCAATTCCCGCTCCTACACTCACAACTTCTGCTTCTGCTTCTACTCACATTCCATGAATGATATTTGAGGCTTTTACTTTGGTTTTAGTGTAAAGACTCGCAGAACAAAGATATAGACATAGAAGGATGAGATGGGTATTTATATTATATTGTGCAGCGGCAATTGGATAGTGCTATAGTGGGAGTACAATTTAGATGACGATGGGGATGATGATCACACTAAAGACAAGTGACAACAGCCAATGTTCAATCTGATCTACCTTTTCTTATCTGTTATTGAAGCACTAAACCCCAATAATGCCACCAAATGCTTTGTATTGTTTATTTAGCAGCCATGATTCCTTTTTAGCGGCTATCTTTGAGCACTAGGAAAGTGTAATATTGTTTGTTGGATTCATCGATATAAGCCGTCTTACACCAACTCACTCTTAATCTAATGGTGTTTCTCTTTTCAACGTCGTTTAAAAGATATTTCAAGTTCGATTCTTATTTCCCCTGTTGTTAATAAAGATTAAAAAGAAATTTCCCCTTACAGAAACTCCATGCAAATTACAAAATGACAAAAGAAAAGTTCTTGCACTAATATGATTGACATGTAAGGTTACATGCAAATCACAATTATATATGCAGAGGACGTATCATTGCATTTAAGAGATGCTGAGCTTTCCACAATCAAAATCTGCCTTCTTCAACCGCAAACCAGCCAGGATTGAAGATAAAAATTTGTCCCTGAAGAAGTTCATAAATTTTCCATTACTCTCTTGTAAGAAACCAACCACATAAGATGTACTAATCAGATCAAAGCTTTTCCATCTCCTCTCGTTGGCATACTTGTTCAACCCCATCTCAATCCTCTCATACTCTTCCTTTCCTTCTTCATCCTCCTTATCTTTTGTTTCTCCCCCTGAGTTCTTCAATAAGGCCTCACCAAGACACCTTGCCAATACAACGCTGTCTTCTAATGCACAGCAGCCCCCTTGGCCAATGTCTGGGGTCATGGGGTGGAGCGCGTCCCCTGCGACACAAGCATTTCCTTTGCTGATGTTTCCCCAAAGAAGCTCCCAAGGATGCCTATATCTCAATGGAGAGGATATAAAAGCATCCAATTCGGTGTTTTCTACCACAGCTTTTACTTTATCAGGTATCTTTCCGAGCTTGCTTGACATATATTGCTTCAGTTGAGCTGGGTTCTCTTCTAGTTCTTTCTCTACAAGACAGGAAGAATAAACAAAAAAATGTAACATACAGATGCTGGTTTGATTGCAATTACATACTGACAGGACCCGTCCCGAATTTCCCGGAACCCGAGACGAACCCTGCGGAGACCCCGGCATCACACCCACGCCGGGTTTACTCCTTAAATCTACGTCCTCGTTTACCATAGAGGATTAAGGGCACGAGACTTTCTGCCAAAACTTCGGCAGAGTCTCCCCTGTAAATTGAACATTCCCCAAAATTTCCACCTGCATAAAACACATTTTATAACCCAACTAGCAGCACGCACAATATACTCTCATGCAATTTACATAAATGGCCTCCGGCCTTCAATGATTCTAACAAACTGCCCACCACGTTTTCAAAATAACTTACTGCATCAGACAAGCATATAACCAATTCAAAATCCATCCATACACACCTTCACTCACTCAGTCCACCGGACAAGCCTCAATTCAACCAAGTTTCGGGACCAACCACGAGGTCCGCATCATACTCGATAAAACCACCTAAGTGGTGTCTAGGTCGTGGCTGCACCTAGGCGCTATCCCAGGCTGCCTACGTACCCTACTAAGGGATCAAGCCACACGTAGCTCTTTCCTATCAATCCCGGCTCCTAATATCAAATCAACCATTCCATCCATATAAATTCATACATTCTACGGTTTCATCCATCTCAACACACCAAACACAATCACATAGCTCCACTCATACGTCGGGACGCACCCGGCCACGTACGGGGTCTGTCAACACGCCGGCTAACCCAAAGACGCGTGCGACCTCACACTGGGCCTGGCTACATTCTCACCAGCCCTTATACCATCATATCACCCACTCATACGTCGGGACGTACCCGGCCACGTACGGGGCCTGTCAACACGCCGGCTAACCCAAAGACGCGTGCGACCTCACACTGGGCCTGGCTACATTCTCACCAGCCATCATACCATCATATCTCCCACTCATACGTCGGGACGTACCCGGCCACGTACGGGGTCTGTCAACACGCCGGCTAACCCAAAGACGCGTGCGACCTCACACTGGGCCTGGCTACATTCTCACCAGCCCTTATACCATCATATCACCCACTCATACGGGGGACGTACCCGGCAAGTTACGGGGCCGTCACACACGGCCGGAACCCAAAGACCGCGGCGACTCACACTGGGCCTGGCTACATTCTCACCAGCCCTCATACCATCATATCTCCCACTCATGAACTCGGGACGTACCCGGCCACGTACGGGGCCTGTCAACACGCCGGCTAACCCAAAGACGCGTGCGACCTCACACTGGGCCTGGCTACATTCTCACCAGCCATCATACCATCATATCTCCCACTCATACGTCGGGACGTACCCGGCCACGTACGGGGTCTGTCAACACGCCGGCTAACCCAAAGACGCGTGCGACCTCACACTGGGCCTGGCTACATTCTCACCAGCCCTTATACCATCATATCACCCACTCATACGTCGGGACGTACCCGGCCACGTACGGGGCCTGTCAACACGCCGGCTAACCCAAAGACGCGTGCGACCTCACACTGGGCCTGGCTACATTCTCACCAGCCCTTATACCATCATATCACCCACTCATACGTCGGGACGTACCCGGCCACGTACGGGGCCTGTCAACACGCCGGCTAACCAAAGACCCGTGCTACCCCCACAACTCTCACTTGGGCCTGTCTACATTCGCACCAGCCATCAATACCACATATCTCCCACTCATACGTCGGGACGCACCCGGCCACGTACGGGGTCTGTCAACACCCGGCTAACCCAAAGACGCGTGCGACCTCACACTGGGCCTGGCTCATTCTCACCAGCCCTTATACCATCATATCACCCACTCATACGTCGGGACGCACCCGGCCACGTACGGGGTCTGTCAACACGCCGGCTAACCCAAAGACGCGTGCGACCTCACACTGGGCCTGGCTACATTCTCACCAGCCCTCACACAATCATAACTCCCACTCATACGTCGGGACGCACCCGGCCACGTACGGGGTCTGTCAACACGCCGGCTAACCCAAAGACGCGTGCGACCTCACACTGGGCCTGGCTACATTCTCACCAGCCCTCACACAATCATAACTCCCACTCATACGTCGGGACGCACCCGGCCACGTACGGGGTCTGTCAACACGCCGGCTAACCCAAAGACGCGTGCGACCTCACACTGGGCCTGGCTACATTCTCACCAGCCCTCACACAACCATAACTCCCACTCATACGTCGGGACGCACCCGGCCACGTACGGGGTCTGTCAACACGCCGGCTAACCCAAAGACGCGTGCGACCTCACACTGGGCCTGGCTACATTCTCACCAGCCCTCACACAACCATAACTCCCACTCATACGTCGGGACGCACCCGGCCACGTACGGGGTCTGTCAACACGCCGGCTAACCCAAAGACGCGTGCGACCTCACACTGGGCCTGGCTACATTCTCACCAGCCCTCACACAATCATAACTCCCACTCATACGTCGGGACGCACCCGGCCACGTACGGGGTCTGTCAACACGCCGGCTAACCCAAAGACGCGTGCGACCTCACACTGGGCCTGGCTACATTCTCACCAGCCCTCACACAACCATAACTCCCACTCATACGTCGGGACGCACCCGGCCACGTACGGGGTCTGTCAACACGCCGGCTAACCCAAAGACGCGTGCGACCTCACACTATCACTTGGGCCTGAGCATAATCACAATATGAGGGGTACGTGGGGTAGTGCGTATAGCACTGTAAACTAATATTCAATCTCCTTATATATCATTATACCTCCATACAATCAATTAAATATAACATATAATTTCTAATCATACAAACACCTTAACAAACAACTAGCATCCGATAATCCCCCATAATCCCCATGACATCAGGACCTGTCACCACGGTCATTTTAATCTTCCTAGGAATGTAATACTACCTAGGAAGTCCCACAGACAAACCAGGGTCAAACTACCCAACCTTGGTCAAACGGGCCCGCGGGGCCCACGACCTCCAATTTCCGATCCGAAAGTTCCTATAGGTTCTACAAGCTCTAGGATGCACGTCCTGCAAGTTTGGTCCAGATCGGACGGTCGGATCGCTCACGATCGCACGATCGGACGGTTACTAAAACCCTAACCCCAGGGTTGGCATTTCTGGAGTATCCGGGACTCCGTTTTACGATCCGTCGAATCCTACACGATCCTGGTAATACCTAGATCAACATATTACAATCTCAGGACCATCCAACGGTCCAAACCCAGCGAACCCGGAAAATACGCGATATGCGATATCCGTTCGGGAACTCTAACGGTATCCAAAATGAGATCCGAGCACGCCTACGCGCTCATGACAACCTGAGGATCCCATTGGGACAAAAATGCCCCTCAGCTACAGTGCCCACGCGCCGCCACACGCGCCGGCAGCGCGTGGGTGTCCAAAGCGATACCCATCGCCGGAAAACTTCCAAATCGTGAGCCCAGACTCCTACCCTAGGTAATACACCTAATTTGGAGTCACTTTTGTTCTTGGACGTACCCCAAAAACTGACCGGAAGTGGCCGGAATCTCATCCCGAAATCCGGCCGAACCCTAACTCGAAAATCAGATAATCTAGACTCAAAATCGATGCAATCCTACCCAACCATCAGCTAGATCATGCAGAAGGGATGAATTTCCATACCTTGATCGCCAAAAAATGGCGGCCGGACGACGGAGAACGAAGCCGGCGAATTTTCTGTCAAAACCGGAGCTTTTCTCCTCGTTTTCCGGCGAAACCACGGCGGCTGGCGACGGGACCTGGCCGGGGTAGGAAGAGGACGGCGGCCCGGTCATTTTGGTACCGGCCCCGTCAACTTTGGTGGCCGGACGAGAGCACGGCCGGCCAAAACGTGGCCGGCTGTTCCAATCGTCGCGCGAGAGGAGAGAGAGACGCGCCGGAGGAGAGAGAGAGAGTGTCTGAGAGACGGGGGCAATTCCGTCTTTTAACCAAAATTCCATTTTCCAAATATTTACGATTTTGCCACTGAGCTTCTTTTGATCATATCTCTCTCGTTACAACTCCGATTCGAGCCCACTACGTGTCTACGGACTCATCTCACCGTGCTCTACGCAACGGTACAACCGAAATTCCCAAATTCCTTCCGGATAAGAAAATGACTAAAATACCCCTATCCCACGGGTAATTTCTTAATTTCACTCAAATTAATTAAAACAGGGGATAAATTTGGAGTCGGGGTGTTACAAACTACCCCCCTTATAAAAATTTCGTCCCCGAAATTTCATACCTGCCACTTCAAAGGGTGTGGGTACTGGGCCCGCATCTACTGCTCGGGTTCCCATGCTTCATCCTCCACAACCAAGTTGGCAGCCAAGTCATTCCATTTGTGATTTGATTCTCTTCTAGCTCTCCCACGAAGAGAAGTCCAAACTCCTTGACTTGTTGATATCTTCCTTCTTTCGTTAGAATCGATAAGCAACATTGCCAACACGATTCTTTGAGAGGAATGTCAGAAAGGATCATTTTTACCGAATTGTAATCATCATCTTCCTCTCTCTACCATGACCCATTTCTGATTCCGATGAAAGATTTCTGCTCAAACGTGCTCACTGCACACAATCGAGAATTAGCAACATGAGGTTCCACTCCTGTCAATCGCGGCATTCAAGCCCACGCGAGTGAAGTGATACTTCATCCAACACTATTACTTCTCAACTTAATTTGTCACGACCCTCCTTGGTCGGACTCACAACTCCTCCATTCGCTTGTAACTTGTCCATCAACTTCCTCTGACAATTTCATCTCATCGGATTCAATATTTTCAGCTCCTCCATTTCCTTCCATAGGATATTGAGATGCGACAATTTGGATAGACACGTTTCTAGGAACGTGACACCCTTAAGTGTAATCCTCAACATCCTAAATCCACCCATGTCAAATAGTCCTCTGCGTCAAAATGATGACGTCCCGTGACGGAACCCATCATGATCCCACAACTTAAGGATGCACACAAGGTGTGGGGTCCACAAGAAATTGAACCTAAGCTCTGATACCAAGCTGACAGGACCCGTCCCGAATTTCCCGGAACCCGAGACGAACCCTGCGGAGACCCCGGCATCACACCCACGCCGGGTTTACTCCTTAAATCTACGTCCTCGTTTACCATAGAGGATTAAGGGCACGAGACTTTCTGCCAAAACTTCGGCAGAGTCTCCCCTGTAAATTGAACATTCCCCAAAATTTCCACCTGCATAAAACACATTTTATAACCCAACTAGCAGCACGCACAATATACTCTCATGCAATTTACATAAATGGCCTCCGGCCTTCAATGATTCTAACAAACTGCCCACCACGTTTTCAAAATAACTTACTGCATCAGACAAGCATATAACCAATTCAAAATCCATCCATACACACCTTCACTCACTCAGTCCACCGGACAAGCCTCAATTCAACCAAGTTTCGGGACCAACCACGAGGTCCGCATCATACTCGATAAAACCACCTAAGTGGTGTCTAGGTCGTGGCTGCACCTAGGCGCTATCCCAGGCTGCCTACGTACCCTACTAAGGGATCAAGCCACACGTAGCTCTTTCCTATCAATCCCGGCTCCTAATATCAAATCAACCATTCCATCCATATAAATTCATACATTCTACGGTTTCATCCATCTCAACACACCAAACACAATCACATAGCTCCACTCATACGTCGGGACGCACCCGGCCACGTACGGGGTCTGTCAACACGCCGGCTAACCCAAAGACGCGTGCGACCTCACACTGGGCCTGGCTACATTCTCACCAGCCCTTATACCATCATATCACCCACTCATACGTCGGGACGTACCCGGCCACGTACGGGGCCTGTCAACACGCCGGCTAACCCAAAGACGCGTGCGACCTCACACTGGGCCTGGCTACATTCTCACCAGCCATCATACCATCATATCTCCCACTCATACGTCGGGACGTACCCGGCCACGTACGGGGTCTGTCAACACGCCGGCTAACCCAAAGACGCGTGCGACCTCACACTGGGCCTGGCTACATTCTCACCAGCCCTTATACCATCATATCACCCACTATACGAGGGACGTACCCGGCCAGTTACGGGGCCTGTCAACACGAAGGAACCAAAGACGCGGCGACCCTCACACTGGCCTGGCTACATTTTCACCAGCCATCATACCATCATATCTCCCACTCATACGTCGGGACGTACCCGGCCACGTACGGGGTCTGTCAACACGCCGGCTAACCCAAAGACGCGTGCGACCTCACACTGGGCCTGGCTACATTCTCACCAGCCCTTATACCATCATATCACCCACTCATACGTCGGGACGTACCCGGCCACGTACGGGGCCTGTCAACACGCCGGCTAACCCAAAGACGCGTGCGACCTCACACTGGGCCTGGCTACATTCTCACCAGCCCTTATACCATCATATCACCCACTCATACGTCGGGACGTACCCGGCCACGTACGGGGCCTGTCAACACGCCGGCTAACCCAAAGACGCGTGCGACCTCACACTGGGCCTGGCTACATTCTCACCAGCCATCATACCATCATATTCCCACTCAGACGTCGGGACGCACCCGGCCAGTACGGGGTCCTTCAACAACGCCGGCTTTATCCAAAGACCGTTGCGAACCTCCACACTGGGCCTGGCTCTTCCACCAGCCCATACCATCATATCTCCCACTCATACGTCGGGACGCACCCGGCCACGTACGGGGTCTGTCAACACGCCGGCTAACCCAAAGACGCGTGCGACCTCACACTGGGCCTGGCTACATTCTCACCAGCCCTCACACAATCATAACTCCCACTCATACGTCGGGACGCACCCGGCCACGTACGGGGTCTGTCAACACGCCGGCTAACCCAAAGACGCGTGCGACCTCACACTGGGCCTGGCTACATTCTCACCAGCCCTCACACAATCATAACTCCCACTCATACGTCGGGACGCACCCGGCCACGTACGGGGTCTGTCAACACGCCGGCTAACCCAAAGACGCGTGCGACCTCACACTGGGCCTGGCTACATTCTCACCAGCCCTCACACAACCATAACTCCCACTCATACGTCGGGACGCACCCGGCCACGTACGGGGTCTGTCAACACGCCGGCTAACCCAAAGACGCGTGCGACCTCACACTGGGCCTGGCTACATTCTCACCAGCCCTCACACAACCATAACTCCCACTCATACGTCGGGACGCACCCGGCCACGTACGGGGTCTGTCAACACGCCGGCTAACCCAAAGACGCGTGCGACCTCACACTGGGCCTGGCTACATTCTCACCAGCCCTCACACAATCATAACTCCCACTCATACGTCGGGACGCACCCGGCCACGTACGGGGTCTGTCAACACGCCGGCTAACCCAAAGACGCGTGCGACCTCACACTGGGCCTGGCTACATTCTCACCAGCCCTCACACAACCATAACTCCCACTCATACGTCGGGACGCACCCGGCCACGTACGGGGTCTGTCAACACGCCGGCTAACCCAAAGACGCGTGCGACCTCACACTATCACTTGGGCCTGAGCATAATCACAATATGAGGGGTACGTGGGGTAGTGCGTATAGCACTGTAAACTAATATTCAATCTCCTTATATATCATTATACCTCCATACAATCAATTAAATATAACATATAATTTCTAATCATACAAACACCTTAACAAACAACTAGCATCCGATAATCCCCCATAATCCCCATGACATCAGGACCTGTCACCACGGTCATTTTAATCTTCCTAGGAATGTAATACTACCTAGGAAGTCCCACAGACAAACCAGGGTCAAACTACCCAACCTTGGTCAAACGGGCCCGCGGGGCCCACGACCTCCAATTTCCGATCCGAAAGTTCCTATAGGTTCTACAAGCTCTAGGATGCACGTCCTGCAAGTTTGGTCCAGATCGGACGGTCGGATCGCTCACGATCGCACGATCGGACGGTTACTAAAACCCTAACCCCAGGGTTGGCATTTCTGGAGTATCCGGGACTCCGTTTTACGATCCGTCGAATCCTACACGATCCTGGTAATACCTAGATCAACATATTACAATCTCAGGACCATCCAACGGTCCAAACCCAGCGAACCCGGAAAATACGCGATATGCGATATCCGTTCGGAACTCTAACGGTATCCAAAATGAGATCCGAGCACGCCTACGCGCTCATGACAACCTGAGGATCCCATTGGGACAAAAATGCCCCTCAGCTACAGTGCCCACGCGCCGCCACACGCGCCGGCAGCGCGTGGGTGTCCAAAGCGATACCCATCGCCGGAAAACTTCCAAATCGTGAGCCCAGACTCCTACCCTAGGTAATACACCTAATTTGGAGTCACTTTTGTTCTTGGACGTACCCCAAAAACTGACCGGAAGTGGCCGGAATCTCATCCCGAAATCCGGCCGAACCCTAACTCGAAAATCAGATAATCTAGACTCAAAATCGATGCAATCCTACCCAACCATCAGCTAGATCATGCAGAAGGGATGAATTTCCATACCTTGATCGCCAAAAAATGGCGGCCGGACGACGGAGAACGAAGCCGGCGAATTTTCTGTCAAAACCGGAGCTTTTCTCCTCGTTTTCCGGCGAAACCACGGCGGCTGGCGACGGGACCTGGCCGGGGTAGGAAGAGGACGGCGGCCCGGTCATTTTGGTACCGGCCCCGTCAACTTTGGTGGCCGGACGAGAGCACGGCCGGCCAAAACGTGGCCGGCTGTTCCAATCGTCGCGCGAGAGGAGAGAGAGACGCGCCGGAGGAGAGAGAGAGAGTGTCTGAGAGACGGGGGCAATTCCGTCTTTTAACCAAAATTCCATTTTCCAAATATTTACGATTTTGCCACTGAGCTTCTTTTGATCATATCTCTCTCGTTACAACTCCGATTCGAGCCCACTACGTGTCTACGGACTCATCTCACCGTGCTCTACGCAACGGTACAACCGAAATTCCCAAATTCCTTCCGGATAAGAAAATGACTAAAATACCCCTAGCCCACGGGTAATTTCTTAATTTCACTCAAATTAATTAAAACAGGGGATAAATTTGGAGTCGGGGTGTTACACATACTACAAACACTTATTAGCAGCTAACATGAAGTCCTAAAGTTTCTGAATTGAAAAGGAAAAAAATTTTCATCTTGTCTAGATGCTGAGAGTAACATAGTATGAAACATTCTATCACGGGTTTTTTATTTGTGATGAGATTGAGGTCTGAAAACCATTATGAAGCATACCGATACCGGTGCTACAATGCGGTGAAACAGTACCAATATCTAAGGTTCTATCTTAAGTTATATTTTTTGCCCCTTCGTGCGTGCAAAAGTAGAACTTAGTAAGTACCAACAAACATTTTAGGACTGATTTTGCGTAACTAACAGTCGAGATTGGCAATCTGAGAACATAACATGTTAGGATAGTTGAAGGGGCAAGAGAGAGTGATGCATGGAGAGAAAATTACCCATCAAGTGTGACATGTTGTTGGCGAAGAGAATTGGCAAGACCAAGGGCATCTAAGGCCTTCCATGCATTTGTCCATGTTGTCAATGCAAAACCCGTTGTCCTTAAAACTATCAGATTATTCCAACACCAAGCTTCTAATCCCCAGCCTGCACCCAGAAATTTCAATTTTGATTCCGACCATAGTAACAAATATATGAACCATGAACATTAACATGTGTGTATTAGAGAGAGAGAGAGAGAGAGAGAGAGAGAGAGAGAGAACCTGTGAAGTCCTAAGGATGTTGCAAGGCCAGAAATTCCAGCTCCAACAATCACAACATCTGCTTCTGCTTCCATGTAGTACTTGATTAATTATGCTCTGGAGACTCAGGCTTCTACTTCTTATTTGTGATGGGGATGTTAAGGACAGGCATAATTGAGCTGAAGATGACGATGATGATGGCGAATGATGATTGGCGGTCAATACTGACAGCAGCAGACAGTGTTTGGGTTTGCCTTCCCTTTTCTTCTTCTTGTGCTCAAAACAGATAAGCCCTCTGTTTTGACTGTGGAGGCAAATCAAAATAAACTGTGGGTTGTTTCAAGTTTAAACCCGCAAGATAATCATGGGGAACTTCTTCTCTAGTTCAATTTTTTCTTATGATTGTATAATGGAGGAGGTGCATGATGACTTTTTTGAATCCAAAACAGTTTGGCATACTCTCATTATTTTTATTATTTAAAAAAAGGAAAAAAATCGCGTTTTAAGAAACATTAATCAGTACGAGTATAGCCGAGCGGATATACTAATTTTTTATAAAATCAGAAAAAATTTAGTTTTACAATTTTTTTTAAATGCCCGCCATGCGATTAGGCGTACACTTGTCAAAATATGTACAGCCGAACGGCTATACTATTTTTAAAAAAATTAAAACACAGAGTATAGCCGAGCGGCTATACGCTTTAAATACATTATATTCTAACACTATAGCCACATTAGCAAACTAACGAAATTTTTGACAGAACCTAACAATAAGGACCATTTGTGATCGCACAAACTAACCTTGAGGACCACGAATGACGCAGAAAAACATTAAAGATGTAATCTAATAGTTTCGTAAACATTATGGACATTTTGTGATATTAAGCCTAAAAAAATTATGAAAAACCGGAACTTTTATCTTTTCTAATTTTCTTGCATCTCTTTTCTTCATTTTTGTTTCACATCACCCTCTTCCTTTTAATTCTATAATCGAAAAACATAAACAAATAATCTTTTATTTTTATTTTTATTTTAAAAAAACGAAACAAGTACATACCACAACGGTTATTTAAATTTGAAGGTTAATGCGTATAAGAAATTGCTTTGAATTTTTTCAAGTTCTGGCAAAACCCAATTTTAGCTGAAGATGACGAATGATGATTGGCGGTCATCAATACTGACAGCAGCAGAATGTGTCTGGGTTTGACTTCCCTTCTCTTCTTCTTCTTGTGCTAAAAAACAGACACCTGTCTGTTCTCGAATCGTAAGTACACATGACCAGCGGTATTCCTGCTCATTGACATGAATGTAAGTTAGACATGTGCAAGAGACAAAGGACAACATAACTAATGCGAGTGCAGGCTTCGTGTTCGTAAAGAATATATTTAAAGCGTATAGCCGCGCGGCTATACTTTTAAAATATTCGAATGTATTGCGAAAGTATAGCCGAACGGCTATACGTTTAAAATATTCGAACATATTCTAAGAGTATAGCCGATCGGCTATACTCTTTAAATATTCAATTTTGTCATATTATTTTAGGCTTTAGGGCTAAAATACAAAAAACATGAGAAGAAAGGCTCAACTCCACATCATACCTCATTGAAAAATCAACAAATTACTGTCCAACAACTTAAATTACCGTGACAAGAAGATGAACTAGGCATGCACAATGTTGGAGGTGATAGCTCCCTTTAGAAGGTATAAGGTAGTTCTTTGTTAATAAGTTATAAAAATATGGAATGCAAAGTTTTTCACCATATAAAATCATATTCACCTTGATACAATCATATCGATGGATAATGCCAAGTATATTAAGCAGCTGCCTTTTGTACTTGTGTATTCGCTTTGTCTGCACATCAAACATTGCATCTAAACTGACCTGCAGTTGAAAGTGATAAATTTCAGTGTAATCTATTAGACATACCTTCAAGAAAAAAGAGAAAAGATGAACAGGATAGAAGTTCTAAGAACTTGTTACCAAACCTTCACACCACTCATTGCTTCAATGTACTCAGCGAGCCTCATTTTGTTAACCTTCTTAACCTACAACATGAGCATATATACAATAGATTTAAATACAAAAGAAGCCAAAAGCTTAATATATTTTTGGTTCCTAAGCAGATATCAAACCTAGTGGGTACCATCATCCATTCTTGTTGAAGGTCAGGATCTGCTGCATATGCTTGCAAGCCAGTTGCAAGCAATGTCCCATGCTTTATTCCAACCCAAATGCTCTTCATCAACAAGCACTCTCATGACCTCAGCTGTTTTTTAGAGATGGGTGAGTATCACTGAGCTGCAGAGCACCCTAATTAAGACATGGAAAATTGAGCCGAGGAGAAAAGGAAAAACAGAAAAGCATACCTGAATGACTGTCAGAGGAAAGTAATAAATATAACTTCATTGTAGCTAAACAAGCTGCCAGATTGGGTATTCCCTAGAAATCAACATATGATAAAACACATACTATTAAGACTTACACCTCATCAAAGTTACCGTGAGCCCCTTCTCTTCTTCTTCTTGTGCTCAAAACAGATAAGCTGTCTGTTTTGACAGTGGTTGTGGAGGCAAATCAAAATAAACTGTGGGTTGTTTCAAGTTTAAACCCACAAGATAATCATCGGGAACTTCTTCTCTAGTTCAATTTTTTTCTTATGATTGTATAATGGAGGAGGTGCATGATCACTTTTTTGGAGGACGGAAGTATTTACAACTTATAGTGTGAGCTCTTGCAAAATAATGAACAACACAAACTTTTTTTATCTTATCAGAAACAATTTGGCATACTCTCTTGCAAAATAGTCCCAGCATCCAAAGTACTTTTTCTCAAGTTACAGAGTATAGTCGCTCGGCTTTAAAACAAATTAGAAAGGAAAAAAAACCTCAGTATCGCCGTGCGGCTATACTATTTTAAAAAGGAATAAAAATATCGAGTCTAGCCAGGCGGCTCTACTATTTTTGACCCATCAACAAATTCCAAATGCTGAACTGAGAATGACTTTCTTCCTTCTCGCACAAAAAGCCCTGATGATAATTCATTAAATACTCTCTCACATGAAAATTGGACCCAAAAGGATAACCACCAACAGGCATTACCAGCTACATTTTCTACATTACCAACACTGCATATAATAATCCTATCTGCTTTCCATGAATTTAGCCTCATAGTTCTGGGGCAACTGCAAAGATGAAAATATATTTTTTTAAACGAGATGTTCCAAAATGAAAAATATATATATAGTCACAATCACAAACATATGTAAGTACCATGAACGTTGCCTCAATCATATTTCCGGCAAACCATCTTCCATGGAGAACATGCTGAGCATTTATCGCAGCTTGTGTGTTCTCGAATCGTAAGTACACATGACCAGCGGTATTCCTGCTCATTGACATGAATGTAAGTCAGACATGTGCAAGAGACAAAGGACAACATAACTAATGCGAACAAACTTACTTGTCTACAAGGATATGCCTCAAATTCCCATATTTTGAACACTCCTCCTGAACATCTTCTTTAATGTCCAAGTCAAAGTTTGGTTCCGTCTGCTCAAAAAGGAAGACAAATTATATAATATAACCACCAAGGGAATGAAGAAAATCTCTCAGTATCAGAAGAATCCACCACCAACCTCAACTGCTGGATCAAACATATTTTTCAACAGTAAACATTCGCTTGGAACACCAATTGTATCTATAGAAGGAAGAGTAGCAGTAGGAATTTGAAGACCAGCAACACCAAGTTCAGAACCCTTAATTTACAAAGTAGCCAATCACAAAATCGGCCTAGGCCGGCGGCTAGGAGGTCGATAGGCGGGCACAAGGCGACTAAGCGGTCGCTAGGCGGGCACAAGGCGACTAGCGGTCGCTAGGCTGCTAGGCGGTAGCTAGGCGGGCCCTAGGCGGCTAGGCGGTAGCTAGATGGGCCCTAGGCGGCTAGGCGGTAGCTAGGCGGGCCTAGGCGGCTAGGCGGTAGCTAGGCGGGCCCTAGGCGGCTAGGAGGTGGCTAGGCGGGCGCCTAGGCGGGTTGGGTCTTTTTTCGTTGCCGGACCCGGAGGACGAAGCAGCCGAAACCAAAGAAAACAAATCGAAGCTTGACGGCGAGTGCAAGTTCCGTCATCTGCAAGTGCAAGCTTCATGTTCGTCTTGAATATATTTAAACAGTATAGCCGAACGGCTATACCTCTAAAATATTCAAATGTATTTAGAAGGTATAGCCGAACGGCTATACGTTTAAAATATTTGAACATATTCGAAGAGTATAGCCGTTCGGCGGTACGCTTTAAATATACAATTTTGTCATATTAGGGTTTAAGGCGAAAATACAAAATACATGAGAAGAAAACTCCAACTGCACATCATTTCTCATTGAAAAATCAACAAATTATGTTGTCCAACAACTTAAATTACTGTGACAAGAAGATGAACTAAGTATGCACAATGTTGGAGGATGGTGATAGCTCCCTTTAGAAGGTATAAGGTAGTTCTTTGTTAATAAGTTATAAAAATATGGAATGCAAAGTTTTTCACCATATAAAATCAGATTCACCTCGATACAGTCATATCGATGGATAATGCCAAGTATATTGCTGCTTAGAGTCATAGTGAACTACATACTTACAATCATAACTTGTTTTAGCAGTACTAAAACACACACAGACATGCACAGATGAGAGAGAGAGAGAGAGAACCTATGAAGTCCTAAGGATGTTGCAAGGCCAGCAATTCCAGCTCCTACAATCACAACTTGTGCTTCTGCTTCTTCTTCCATGAATGATATTTGAGGCTTTTACTTTAGTTTTAGTGGAAAGACTCGCAGAACAAAGATATAGACATAGTAGGATGAGATGGGTATTTATATTATATTCTGCAGCGGCAATTGGATAGTGCTATAGTGGGAGTACAATTTAGATGTGGGTATTTATACCATGAATGTTGCCTCAATCATCTTTCCGGCAAACCATCTTCCACGGAGAACATGCCGAGTATTTATCGCTGCTTGTGTGTTCTCGAATCGTAAGTACACATGACCAGCAGTATTACTGCTCATTGACATGAATGTAAGTTAGACATGTGCAAGAGACAAAGGACAACATAACTAATGCGAACAAGCTTACTTGTCTACAAAGATATGCCTCAAATTCCCGTATTTTGAACACTCCTCCTGAACATCTTCTTTAATGTCCAAGTCAAAGTTTGGTTCCGTCTGCTCAAAAAGGAAGACAAATTATATAATATAACCATCAAGGGAATGAAGAAAATCTCTCAGTATCAGAAGAATCCACCACCAACCTCAACTGCTGGATCAAACATATTTTTCAACAGTAAAACATTCGCTTGGAACACCAATTGTATCCATAGAAGGAAGAGTAGCAGTAGGAATTTGAAGACCAGCAACACCAAGTCCAGCGATACCAGGAACAGCGGTGATGGGAGGAACAAGAGGAGAAACCACTGGTGCAGCTCCCAGGAGTGGTGCCGTTGGTAGTTCCATTGGTAAAGAAACACCGGTGCTATTGACAGCGGGACCAGCAATACTGCATACAAAGCCAATGTAAGACCAACTAAAACAATTCAAAATAGAATAAAATGCTCAGAAAATACCAACCCTGATCCAGAGCCACTGCGATCCAATTTCTGCATGAGAATTGCCCGAGAACGGGCATTCAATGACTGTAAGATTAATAAAACAAAACGTCAATCACCTTCACTCAGGTCAACAAAAAAAAATGCAGTGCAGACACTCTTTCTATGCCAAACTATCACCCTTGGCTTTGCAGTGCTGATGTCTGCAATGCCTTGAGAGACAATGCATATCTTACTAGTTAAAGCAAAAGGGAGGGATAAGTGCCGAAACCAGTAAAATGATTACAAAATTCATGGATGCTACGTTATTTTGAATTATCAAGCTCAACTTCAATAATCTGCTAGCAAAAAAAAATCTTAAATAGGCAATCTTTCCAATATCAAAGGTTAAAAAGCTGGCAGGAGTGCAAGAGATGGTAGTTCAAATTATTTTGTGACCTTATTTTTCTACTAGGAGAATGAATAAGAGAACAATAAATAATACAAAAGATACTAAATAAGAGAACAATAAACACAAAAGATACTAAGCCAATCGAACCAACTATAGATACCATAAGCATCAAGCAGCAAAAATATCTTAAAAGCAATGATGAAGCAGCAGCAGCTTCCATACATTCAACAATTATTCCCAGATATTACTCAGCCAGAGCAAACAGTTCTTAGCAATCATATCAGTCCACAAATTCTTTGTGTTAATAGAAAATAAAAACATAAAAGGAAAGATCTTACTAACCAAGCCACCACCTTCATCGTCATCAAAATCACCAGCATTTGCTCCAAGATCTTGCATTCCAGCTTGGTCTGTAACAGGCTTCCCAATCTCAAGCTCAAATTTGCAGCTAAATTTTTTCAATTTTGGGTTTCAGACTCAGTCAATCGCAGTGTTTGAAAACTCGGCCTAGGCGAGCGGCTAGGCGGCTAGGTGGATGCTAGGCGGGCGCTAGGAGGTCGCTAGGAGGCTAGGCGGTCGCTTGGCGGGCGCTAGGCGGCTAGGATGTCCCTAGGCGGGCGCTAGGCGGCTAAGGGGTCGCTAGGCGGCTAGGCGGGAGCTAGGCGGCTAGGAGGTCGCTAGGCAGGCAGCTAGGCTGTCGCTGGGATGGGCACCTAGGCGGGTTGGGTCTATTTTCGGTGCCGAACCAGGAGGACGAAGCAGTGACTGCGAGTGCAAGTTCCGTCCTCTGCGAGTGCAAGCTTCGTTCGAATATATTTAAAGAGTATAGCCGAACGGCTATACTTCTAATGTTCGAATGTATTCAGAAAGTATAGCCGACCGGCTATACGTTTAAAATATTAGAACATATTTGAAGAGTATATTTTAGAGCTATAAAAAAAATATGAGAAAGAAAGCTCCAACTGCACATCATATCATTGAAAAAAAAAAAAAAAAAAAAAAAAAAAAAAAAAATGAGGGACTGCTCTACTGTTAAACTTACTTTTTTCCCCTGGCCTTAAATGTACATTTCAAACATTGGAAGCACAGAAATCGTTGAGGAAGTCACATTCCTGTATTCAAAACTACTAGCTGAAAAAATATACTAAAATATATATATATATACACACACAGCAATTGTCCAGAAATTTATCAAGCAAAAGGGGTATATCTAACTCAGTTATTTTTTTGCTGTGTTGTCAAAGTGTTCAAACATTGAAACATAATTTGACACAATAACATGTCAAATTGTCCAAAATGGTGACATAATAATGTACCCATGAAGTGTCTCATGCTGTCGGCGAAGAGTATCGCCAATACCAAGGGCATCTAATGCCTTCCATGCATTTGTCCATGCTGAGAATGCAAACCCTGTTGTCCTCAAACTATCCGATGATTCCAACACTAAGCTTCGGATATGCCAAGCCTGCAGCCAAAAGAATTTGAATTTTGCTTGCTGCTTAGAGTCATAGTGAACTACATACAATCATAACTTGTTTTAGCAGTCCTAAAACACACACAGACTTGCACAGATGAGAGAGAGAGAGAGAGAGAGAGAGAGAGAGAGAGAGAACCTATGAAGTCCTAAGGATGTTGCAAGGCCAGCAATTCCAGCTCCTACAATCACAACTTGTGCTTCTGCTTCTACTTCCATGAATGATATTTGAGGCTTTTACTTTGGTTTTAGTGGAAACAGACTCGCAGAACAAAGATATAGACATAGAAGGACGAGATGGGTATTTATATTATATTTTGCAGCGGCAATTGGATAGTGCTACAGTGGGAGTACAATTTCTTATCTATTATTGAAGCACTAAACCCCAATAATGCCACCAGATGCATGCTTTGTACTGTTTATTTAGCAGCCATGTTTTCTTTTTAGCAGCTATCTTTGAGCACTAGGAAAGTGTAATATTGTTTGTTGGTTTCATCGTTATAAGCCATCTTACACCAACTAACTCTTAATCTAATGGCGTTTCTCTTTTCAACGTTAAAAGATGTCAAGTTCGAATCTTGTTTCCCCTGTTGTTAATAAAGATTAAAAAGAAATGTCCCCTTACAGAAACTGCATACAAATTACAAAATGACAAAAGAAAGTTCTTGCACTAATATGATTGACATATAAGGTTACACGCACATCACTATTATATATGCAGAGGAAGTATCATTATTGCATTTAAGAGATGCTGAGATTCCCACAATCAAAATCTGACTTCTTCAACAACAAACCAGCAGGATTGGAGATAAAAATTTGTCCCTGAAGAAGTTCATAAATTTTCCATTACTCTCTTGTAAGAAACCAACCACTCTAGATGTACTAATCAGATCAAAGCTTCTCCATCTCCTCTCATTGGCATACTTGTTCAACCCCATCTCAATCCTCTCATACTCTTCCTTTCCTTCTTCACCCTCCTTATCTTTTCTTTCTCCCCCTGAGTTCTTCAACAAGGCCTCACCAAGACACCTTGCCAATACAACACTGTCTTCTAATGCACAGCAGCCGCCTTGGCCAATGTCTGGGGTCATGGGGTGGAGCGCGTCCCCTGAGACACAAGCATTGCCTTTGCTGATGTTTCCCCAAAGAAGCTCCCAAGGATGTCTATATCTCAATGGAGAGGATATAAAAGCATCCAATTTGGTGTTTTCTACCACAGCTTTTACTTTATCAGGTATCTTTCCGAGCTTGCTTAATATATATTGCTTCAGTTGAGCTGGGTTCTCTTCTCGCTCTTTCTCTACAAGACATGAAGAATAAACAAAAAATGTAACATACAGATACTGGTTTGATTGGAATTTTACATACTACGAACACTTATTAACAGCCAATATGAAGTCCTAAAGTTTCTGAATTGAAAAGGAAAAAATATATTTTCTAGATGCTGAGTAACATAGTATGAAACATTCTATCACGGTTTTTTTATTTGTGGTGAGATTGAGATCTGAAAACCATTTTGAAGCATACCGATACCAGTGCTACAATGCGGCGAAACAGTACCAATATCTAAGGTTCTATCTTAAGTTATATTTTTTGCCCCAAGGATCTGTCGTAAGTTTGAGCCTTGAGGGTACCCAAAGGAAACATGGAAGCAAAGAATCCCAAAAATTTGTGTGAAAGCTGACCTTGGCTAGAGGGAGTCCAAGTAATGTACCAGTAAACATTTGTATCATCACAAAGTACTGATTGAACTTGGGATCAACTCCATGACTGCTCTTGAAGGTAGCACAACCTCTAATAGCAGATCTCCCTGTAAATGCCGGCTGCTTGAAGCCGAGCCATTTTGCCACCACGGAGTTCACTCCATCACACCCAACGAAGACCTATTCAATCACAACATTATTACCGTAAGTGACTAGATGGAAGTACCTACAAAATTAAGTATTCCATCCAAAAAGAGATGATGTTATAAAAAAAAAGCAAAAAGGTTTTGGTTCAAATTGGGACAGTTTAGCAGGCCATGGCGGATCCGGTGGCACTGACCTGTTATCCTTCCACTGCCAAGAGCGGGAGGTAGTCGTTGCTCTGTGAAGCCAGCCTTACGCAGTGCCCTCCACTCTAGAAACCCAGTGACCCAGAGCCTTTGCTCAAGCCACAGGGTTCAACTCCTGGCTTGGAATGGGCGGCCCAGAATATAGCCAACCCGAACCCGACCAGCTAATACTGGGACAATGTTCCAGCACCTCAAAGCCCCCACTCTGGTTACAAGCTCACGTTGCTGAGCTCGGCGATCCAACTTCCTCCTGTTAGGTTTATGAAGTGTGGTTTTTGATATCAACCGAGCGATGTGGGATAAGTTGCAAGAGCGAGTGCCTCTTTAGGATAAGATCTTGGCCTTCAGATAATGACTTGACTTTTGCAAGGGCTTTTTTTATATAGAAAAATAGAGATAAAAAGGAAAGATCAGTCTACCTTGGCTTTGAGGATGGTCCCGTCTGCGAGATGAACCAGCTTAAAGTAGCCCGATTCGTCAACGGAAACCACCTTGGATGAGAACCTGATGGTGCCACTGGGGAGTTCATTTGCAAGGCCTTCCAACAACAAGTTCCTTTTCACGCATCGAATTTCATGGTCTCCGCTGCACATTCTCAATCATTTGAGCATGCTTGAATATGGATACTAACAAAATCATTTAAATAGAATCTAGCAAACAATTGATTTCCAATATTAAGCATCAAGTAAGATACTTTTAGCA